AATGTCTTCACCTTAGATTACAGAATTTCACATTTTTTTGCCATTCATATTTTAAAATTTCTCTTCGTACCAGACCTCTTCAGAATATGTTGACAAGGAGGTTAGGTAACTAGTCAAGACACAGAATTAATGCAAAGGTTTGGTTTTGAGATTACAGAGAAAGCCAAGGTTTCATCAACACGTATTAATTTGTGTCCTCAAGCAGCAAGATTTCGTACAAAAAATACTTAGCTCATCTTCTTGGAAGGCAAAATACTACCACCAAGAAACTGCCGTGACATTTAAAGATTTAGGAAAAAGATAATCTGCAAATGCTCCAGTAATACACAGGTATAAAACTGAAGACACATGGTGCTAATAAGCTTATACTAATAAGTTTACAAAAAGACCTAAGTTATAAACAGAGAGTACCCTGTCCATCTAATCGTTCATAAAAGGAAAGTACGGCCTTATGTTTCTTGCTTCTGTGACTCCGCAGTGGGAACTGGACAGTATTCTACCCCTGCCACTTGCCATGCCCTACTTTTTCCCCCACCTTAAAACAGATTTTACAATTAATGTAATTTTACTTTTTTAAATGTTTTACATTACTGTAAAAATTGCTACAAATACTTTTTTGTAGGGGAATCTGTAACTTGCCTAGAACACCTCATCCCTTTTTGCACCTCTGGAGGGAGTGTGTCACATGCTATTTTAACTACTCATCCATCCCACGTTTCTGATAAAGTACATAAGCTATTCCATGCCTCCTTACACAGTGACATTATCTTTATTTCTCAGAGAAAGCCAAGAGGTTTATAACACAAAAATAAATTTTTGGTGCTGCTTAGCAGTCCAGGGTATTTTCAAACTTGTCTCCACAATCATTCATTAACACAGTTAAAAAAAGTCATAAAACCTCCAAGACTTAAAAAGTTTTTTTGACACCCTGTAATAACATGATTAAACTGTTCAAAGGTCTATTAAATACTAGATCAGCTCATGAAAAGACAAACTTAGTATGCTAATATGAAAACTGATGAATCTTTTACTATATAGCTCAAGAAAAGGTACACAAAACTGGTTTAATATGTCACATGTTGCACTGACCTGACTAAAGAGAGATGAAATTTCTGCAGTGAGCTTTTAGTCTTCACTATGTATTTAAAGCACCAATTAATATTAGATCCCCATCTAGGTAACAAAATGAGCAGTGAAAGTTTGTTTATTTAGGAAGCTCACTTTTTCTACTTCTATCGACTTTGACATAAAAATGAAGCATAATACATGGAGAACTAAATTAACTGCTTAAAAATGCAACTCTTGGCAAAAAGGGTAATCAGTCTGTAAATTGCCATGTGTTCACATACCAAGTAAAAGCTCAAGCATTTATCAGTGTAAACTTGGAAGTCCTTGCAATGAAGTCACTGCATGAATGGAGATTATAAAATTTTGCTATGTTAAATACCAAAGAAATCAAAATTCAGTTTTATAACTTCAACTTAACTTCCTCTCTAACAAATCACATTAACTTTTATGCAATAAACTCGAAAATAAAATGACTACGTACCTGTGTTCTTATGACCCTTAAGGACGTAAAGAGGAGCTGGGTTGTCAACTGTGAAAATGCAAATATTATGATCATTGCCACCAGTTGCAATCAGCCCACGAGGATAGAGGTCACTTGGAGGTATGATGCACACACAAGATACAAAATTTGAGTGGCCACTCATACAGTGCATTTCAGTAAAACGCCTGTTAAGACTAAACATATACGATAATCAGTTCAGAGTCATGACAGAAACAGTACTTATTTGAGGCACTGAATTACAACAGGTGTTTTATACTCCCCACTCTTGAATTAATAACTATGCTGCGCTGTGCTGAATAAATACTATGGATGACGTAGGAAGAACGAAAGACTTACGAGAAAAATTATATCCCCGCATTCCAACCCAGTAAGCAATATTTAAAGCTTTCCACTTGTTTTTCAGTAATGGTAGGCCTGGAAGGACTTAGTTTTGTTTTTCCATGCTCGTTAGCAAACACTGTGCCAAATTTGATCAGAGGTAGTTACAGTTTGCCTTTATGAAATCTTTTGTTGTATCAAGACTCAAATATGTACCCCCATACACCCTAAAATAACAAAGCACATAAATGAAGAGAGTTTACTGCCTGCCAAATCTATTCACTGGCTCTTAATTAGGAGCACTGTAGAGGTTTAATAGTTAAATAGATTATAACTGACTGAAGCAGCACCCTTATTTCTTCATCATGATCCAGCTCAACAGTTATAGCACTAACTAGAAAAAGCTACTTATCCCCACAAAATAAATGTGTGAGTTGTGGTGGTGTTTGTTTGGTTCTGGGATTTTTTCCTTTCTGTGTCTGTTTTGTTTTTTTCCCCAAAAAAAACATATATCACACTGTCATCCTTCATTCTCTAATGCTTGGAAAGCTTGGGATATGTAAGGAAATTGTGATGCTCTTCTAAATTCTAAAATGTCTTCTCTGCTGAAGGTACAGAGAACAAATGCAGGTAGCATACCCTCCTGTAAAATTGAAATAACAAAAATAACATACAGCAGTTTGCTTACCCACTGAACCCTGTCTACTGTAATACCAGAGTCTTCAAAGCAGAGAGACATAATCATGACCAGCACTATGACTCTGCATAAGTTACCCATGTCTTCCTCATACAGCCCTCAAAAATTGTGGGTTAGAATCAGGCTTCCTTTCCAGCAATAAATTTCTATGCAATTTAACAAGTCCCTTCCCTTCTGATGAGAGATTTAATGAGACACACTTAATGAGATTAGTCTTCCTCCACCTCAGTTGCAGAGCTACAGAGATCAACTTAAACACATATGTGAGCATTCAGGCAAATTTGCCAGTTATCTCTGTTTTGCTGGAAGGCAGTGGAAAGAATATCCATGCCTAGCAACTTCAGAATTGCAGTTCACAATTTGAAAGCACAGACAGGTGAGGAGATATGTCCTGTGGCTTCCTGCAATACCCTACGTGTCCACCATCTCCTATTCACATCGCTTAGCAGCACCTCCTCCGGTCACAACGATATGCTGAAAAATTCACCGAGTGAATTCAGCAACACAAATTCAGTAGGAGACAACCCTGTACAACATTAGTATCAGCGAAAATAGTGTTAGGGTTTTTTTTTCCCTTTTCCGATGTCTTTGTGTATTTAAGTTTTCCGTGTAGTTTTTGCTTCATATTCCATTTTACGTTCAAAGAAGTCTACTCGGCAAAGGCAAGAAAAGTTTTTTAAAAATATCCAAAGCATACCGCCTTACTGTCAAAAACGCAGCATTTTTACTTAGCGGGATTACTTTGGTACTGAACACCAAGAGGTGGAAACAACATTAATACCACCTGGAAAAAAGACGCCCAGATTTATAGACGTTATTAGCGTCTGCAAAGCTCGCTAACAATACCGACATACAGTTGACTGACTGAGCAAACCCGGCCTTCCCCAAAAGCGGGCACGCAAGCGGCGATGCCTCGGCCATTCGCAATCCCACCAAAACGCCTCCAGCGAAC